TTTCCCATTTCCCATTAGGCATGGTTATCTAACAGTTTTTCTCTAATTTTCATTGAATGATACAAGTATTTTTCAAGGTTTAGCAGTTTTATATTATTATCGCCGTGATTCATGAGATTTTTTAGTTTGTGCAGTGATGGAAAAGACCAAAAATATCGTGAAAAATATTTGGATATATAAGCGGGACAGCACAGCAGAAAGTGGAATTCATCTTCAACAGCTTTCTTATTACAACATTTGCATAATCTTTTATATCTTTCGATTTTATTATATCGCCCGGTTTCAATGCTTAGTTGGAGAAGACCACAACGAAAATGACATATAACAGTTTTATACTTGACTTGAGGTACGTTTCTGGTTCATGAATAGTTTTATATAATTTATAAAACCGTAGTTTACTTGAATCTTCTACTGTGGCGAACCATGTCTGGTAAAATTGATCTTTTATACGAATTTCTATTTGTGGTAAAATTGATATATCAAAAGCATTTTGTTGATCCCATATTATATATAGGAAAACCCCACGTTATTTAAAATCAATTTTATTTCAGTTGCCCAGTTTAATGAACCACGTAGCGAATCATTATATAAAAGAGTATATACATTAGATAATAATGAATTCTTTTCCTTCAATACTTTGAACCAATATCTTATTATTCTTATCTGACGCTTAATTATAGCTGGGGACATTCCTAATTCGCCTAGCATAGCAGCAACAGCACAGTTTTTACCTACTTTTAAAATATATCTCATAAAATCATTTTGTACTTTATCAATTGACTTAGCATTATGAAAACAACCAAACTTCACAGGCATAGTTAAAAACAGACGAAACTATAGTGTTAAATAATTGACAGTAAACAATTGGATTAAAATAAAAGTTTTTTGTTGAAGTTAAAAGTGCTCGCATTGCTTTTCTGCCCTGTGACGCCACACGTTTTTCTGTTTTAGAAAATTTACCATTGTCACAAAGTAAAATACCCAGATATATATATTGATTAACAATATCAAGTTGTGTTTCATGAATATAAAATTTAAGTTTAATGGAAGCCTACCACGGTTAAATATAACTATTTTGGTTTTCTTAGCATTTATTTCTAAATTCCAAATTTTACAATACTGGATAAATTTATTTAAAAGTAATTAAGTAATTGTAAAGTTTCCGGTTTCATAGCAAAGAGGGCAGTATCGTCTGCAAAGAGTAATGAATATATAGTGATATTTTCTAGGTGTTTAAAATTTGTATCATCGTTGGATAAAAAATCTCTTAGGTTGTTAATAAATATTAAAAATAAAAGCGGGGACAATGATTCGCTTGTTTAACTCCTGACATACTAAGAAATGATGTAGATAATTCACCTTTAAACTTAACAAAACTGCTCACTTTACTGTTCATTGATTTGATTATAGTTATCATTTTAGAGCTTACACCGATTGAATTAAGTTTATAAAACAACTGATTTCTGTTTACTGTATCAAAAGCTTTACACAGATCTATAAAAGCACAATAGAGTTTTTGGCGATTGTCTAGTGAATGACTAATTAATCCATTAAGAATAAAAAGAGCATCAATTGTACTTTTATCTTTCCTAAATCCAAACTGAGTTTCATCTAATTTATTATTCCTTTCGCACCAAGTGTACAGTCTGTGATTTAGAATGATAGAAAAGATTTTTGAAAAAGTTGACATTATTGAAATTCCCCTATAGTTGTCCTTTATATTAAAATCACCTGCTTTGGGTACAGGAACTGATATGCTATCTTCCCAGCATTCCGGAAAAAAACCACTATCATAAATTAAATTAAAAATTGTAACCATAAGAGGCAATAAAATATCAATACTTTTGCTATTGTTGAAAAAAGTTAAACCAAATTGGGGATTAGTTTCAGAAACTTTGCCATACACACTTTCGAAATACTTTAAAAATTCACATGATGTCAGATTTGACGCTTTGAAATTTTTCTTTTTCATTATGGCATCCCAGAATATTTTGGAGTTAGATTTAGAAAGGGCACACAGATGAGATCCCAAGGCTTTATTATATTTCAACTTAGACTTTCTTTTGATTTGATTGAACTCACTTCGATGCAGATTAAATAATATTTTATTAAACTCACAACGATTTTTTAGAAAAATATTTCTACTTTTATTGAATTTATTTCGGGCTAATTTACAATCACTGTCAAACCCTTTATTTTCTTTAAGATTTCTAATTCTGTCACGAAGACATGGTTGGTTTTAGTTTTTCCAAATAAGGAAACAGTTATATCACGAAAAACATCAGTGATATCTTTCACAAGAATATGAATGTTACCGTTATTACTCAAAACAATGCTATTTAGGGCTTCATACTACCTCGCGAAATACATTAATTCTCGATATGTCCCATTTAATAACCTGTTCTATCGTCGTGTTTTCTCTAACATCATTCCTTATATTGTCATTGATATCTATTAGAGATTTAACCTGTAGTTTAAATTATTTTAGAGGTGAATGGTCCGAAAATTCAGTTATATCTAAAACTTCAAATTTATGTATAAGATTTAAATAATCATTTGGGACTAAGAAGTAATCTATAACACTTGTTCCTCTTGGTGAGCAAAACGTAAATTTACCTAAATTTTTATCTTCGTCTAGCCTACCATTGCGATTAAACAGTCGGTTGATTTGCATAGATCAATTAATTTGTTTCCCAAAAAATTTAAAACTTTATCTTGAGATTGACGAGGAATAATATTTCTATTATTACAAACATGAGCTAAGGTGCCAATATATCTATCTAAATTATCATTTTCTATTTGTTCAGATTCCTCTCGTGTTCTGCCGTTGAAATCCCCACATATCAAAGCTTTACCTATGCAGGAATAATGGACATAAATCTGTTCTATCTCAAGAAATATATCAAAATTACATATATTGGCGTGATTATACAAAAATAATATAAACATCTTCAAAAGATTCAAACAGAGATCGATCTAGCTTAACAACACATAAACCCACGGTTCAGTGTGAACTACAGACACATATTTATTTAGATTCGGCTTATGTAGAATAGCTAAGTCACCATAGATTGAGTTACGTTTACCAAGTTTATATAAGTTGCCACGATTCACGAACACCCCAGGTGAAAAGTTTTCAATTGATATACTCTCCTTACTGTCTTTTAACCAGGTTTCACATAACAGTACCATATCAAAATCAGATATATAATTGATAAAGGAATTATCGTCTATTACTGAATTCAATCCATGAATATTCCATGCAGCTATGGCAATATAATCAGTTGACCCGAACCCTGGGAATGTCCTAGCATCTGTTATACAGATCTGGTGTTGGTAACGTGAACCGATTATCATCAGGAAACTGAATGGCATTTGACCTTCTTGAACGTGCGCCAACTGTTTGAAAACCTTCGTTTGATGAAGTGTCAAAAGTTTCTATTTGTAGGGGTAGATGATAGCGGACCCCGAGAGTTCAATTCCTGGATGGTGTTTGGAGCTGCATCAATGTGACTTGAATCAATTGATTTTAATCCCGTTTGGTCGTTAACAGGTAGACAATTATTGGTGATAGTTGCTGCGTTGGCAAAAGTACCCTGTGGCCTTATGAACTGGCTAAGGTCGGTATCATAATTGACTGTAGATATTTTACCATCTAGGGATTTCACCATAATTCTACCATGTTTGTCCAACAACCCTCTATAAGTTTATTTTTGTAAAGGTCTCTGGTTTCCTATACAGAATCGACCTCCTTTAATTAGGGCTTCGTTTATATATATTTTGAAATTTCTGTCATTATTGTTTGTTTTTTGAAAACAAGAGATCTAAATCGATAGCTTATAAATCGAACTATTATGTCCCTGCAATAACCTGGGCGCTTTGAATGTCAGCGATTTCCGATAATTACTGCCAGAGTTATGGCCCTTGATCACTTCAAAAAATCTTGCGGACGCTCTAGAGGCCAAAGTTAATATCCGATTGACCTTAAATTTATACACAGTGTTTAAGGTCATGAGACGAAGAAGCCTATTGATTTTCATCGATTTCCGATAATTACTGCCAGAGTTATGGCCCTTGATCACTTCAAAATATCTTGTGGATGCTCTAGAGGCTAAAGTTAATATCCGATCGAGTTTAAATTTATACACAGTGTTTGAGGTCATGAGAAAAAGATTCCTATTGATTTTCAATGATTTCCGATAATTACTGCCAAAGTTATGGCCCTTGATCACTTTGCAAAATCTTGTGACGCTCTAAAGGCTAAAGTTATCATCCGATTGACTTCAGATTGATACACAGAGTTTAAGATCTTGAGACGAACAAGTATATTGATTTTCAATGAATTTTTATGACTTGAACAGTTAAATCCATGATATTAAAAGCTTTGCATACAAAACGTTGGCATGGGGCAGAACTTTATAAAAACCAAACAAATTCTAATAGTTTTCTGATAATTACTTTGTGAGTTGTTGCTCTTAATCAGATTTTAGTGTATTATAAATGTTTCATTACCGAAAAAAGTAAAAATATGTGACAACCCTGGTTGACTGCCCGGACGATTTAGTTGCTGTGGGCGTATGTTTCGTTGCCTGGCAACCTATCTTTGAGATTCTTTATATAACCCATGACAAGTGACATGAAGTGACTGTGAATATGAAAGCTTTCATATCTGCCTAGCAGATCTAGTTATTATTATTACTATTATAAAATGGGGGCGTGGATGGGCGAATGGGTAGCACGTGTGCACTGTATCATAAGGTCTGTCATTGAGTCAACTGACGTGGTTTCAATTCCCCGGTTTTACTTGACAAGGAGTAGGCTTTCTCCGGGTCTCCAGGTTTCATCCCACTGCTAAAGACCCCTATAAAATAATGTCCTTGATTTGTTTGTGGCAAATATTTTCATTTATAATTATAGAATTAAAAGTTAATTGTTCATAAGTCAATGATATCAACATTATCAGTGGTAAAGTAATCTTTTGCAATATTTATTTATTTCAGTGGACTGGGCAGCTTTGGCTAAACAATGGATGGCACATAAAGAAGGACCTGCTCCACCATCCTCACTCTTATCACAAGCACATGATCCTCCTCCCCCCCCTCCCCCCTCAAACTTTGATGCTCACCCACCCCCCATACCTGTTCATATTCTTTCTCTTAATTTACGACAAGAACAAAATGATATGGACATATCAGATGAGGAATCCGGTGTACACAGTAGTAAAAAAGGTAATTTTTATATGCCCACATTGAAATATTGTTGTCACATCCATCTAAATACCCTCTAGGGATTAAAGTTATCATGCAATTGATTGGAAATTTATCCAAAGGGTTTAGGAGACAAAAAACTGGATGTTGATTTTCAACAATTTTTATATGCCCAGTGTTTTGTGACTTTCCGTTCCGGAGTGATTCCCCCATTGCCAAATATCTTAGTGAGATGAAGAAGCCTATTTAATTTCAATAATTTCCGTTTATTACGTCTAGAGTTATGGCCCTTGTTTCACTTTGTTTGACCTTGTGAACGCTCTAATGCCAAAAGTTAAAATCCGATCTTTGTGACATTTATATGCATTATTTAAATTAGTGAAACGAAGAAGCCTATTGAATTTCAGCAATTTTCGTTTACTACATCTAGAGTTATGGCCCTTGTTTCACTTTATTGAAACTTGTGAACGCTCTAACGCCAAAAGTTATTATCCGATCTTTGTCAAATTTATGTGCATGATTTAAATTAGTGAAACGAAGAAGCCTATTGAATTTCAGCAATTTCTGTCTATTACTTCTAGAGTTATGGCCCTTGTTGCACCATGTGAACGCTCTCACGCTCTGCCGATCTGTATGAAATTAACATGTGTCATTTAAATTAGTCAAGAGAAGAATCCCATTGAATTTCAGCAATTTCCGTTTATTACTTCTAGAGTTATGGCCCTTGTTTCACTTTGTAAACTCTCTAACCTCTAAAGTTAACTGTCAATCTGTATGAAATTTATATGTTCCATTTAAGTTATAAAGAAAAATCCTATTGAGAATTTCAGCAATTTCCGTTCATTACGTCTAGAATTATGGCTCTCTTCACTTTATTGAACCTTGTGAACGCTCCAACGCCGAAAGTTATCATTGGATCTTTGTGAAATTTATATGCATTATTTAAATTAGTGAAACCACGAAGCCTATTGAATTTGAGCAATTTACAATAATTACTTCTAGAGTTATGGCCCTTGTTTCACTTTGTTAAACCTTGTTAATGCTCGATTGATGAAAGTTATCATCCGATATGTATGAAATTTATATGCATCATTTTAATTTGTGAAACAGAGGTTTAGTGAATTTCAGCAATTTCCGTCAATAATTTCTAGAGTTATGGTGATTTGCGAACCTTGTGAACGTTTGAATGACAAAAGTGATCATGTGATCTGTATGAAATTTATATGCATTATTTAAATTAGTAAAACGAAAAAGCCTGTCAAATTTCAACAATTTCTGTAGATTACTTCCAGAGTTGAGACCCTTGTTTCCATTTGTAGAACCTTGTAAACCCTCAAACGACAAAAGTTATAATCTGATCTGTATGGAACTGTCTTGTAAAGGCCCCCAATTACCTACAAAGGAATAAATATGCGACAAACATTGTCGACTGCTCAGATGATTTAGTTGCTGTGGGTGTATGTTTCGTTGCCTGGCAACCTATCTTTAAAAATATTGCAGTAATTTTAATAATAATCTTTGGATTTTAACTTTTGATACATTTTGGCATAGCCGGACACAGGGCACATATCTACGCTACTTTTGATTTTCGGCAAATCTTCGCAGATATAAGGTGCCAAATTTAGAAAATTTAAATTTTTACAAAAATCTTTTTTATATATGAATATTTTTTGGTTGTGTTTTACACAGAATTAAAGAATCATCTGACTTGAGCAAAAATGTGAAATTGTTTTGTCTCAGTAATTTTACTTGGCAACCATTGGCTAATTCAGTTTTTCAGTCCTAGATTAATTATTTATTGTTCGATTTATATAAATCAAAGTTCATATGCTCCGTTGTCTCAATTGTCATTTTTTTTGTTACCGATAGAGTTATCTGTCATGACCGGAAGTGGCGTAATTTTACCAAAAACTACAATTTTGACAGTTCGGTACCACTTTTCGAAAGCAAATATTATTTTTTGTCCCCTGTAGTAAGCAGGGGACTATTAAAATGGGTTCGTTCGTCTGTCTGTCCGTCCGTCTGTCCATCCGTCTGTCTGTCTGTCACACTTTTTGGGACACAATAACTCTCCTTCTAATTGACCAAGAATGTTCAAACTTGGTGTAGGTGTTTATTAGGTCAATGCCTTGATGGAGTTCGAAGATGAACATTTTCTGCTTAGGGTAAGCAGAGATAAGCAATTTGATTGGTTGATGCTTTGGGACGCGATAACTTTAGTTCTAATTAAGTGAGAGTGATGAAACTTGGTGTATAGTTTCATTACATCAATACCTTGAATAAGTTTGATAATGAGCATTTTCTGCTAAGGGTAAGCAGAGCGATAAGCAATTTGATTGGCTGAGACTTTGTAACACAATAACTTTAATTGAGCTACAATGTTCAAACTTGGTGTAGGTTTTTATGAGGTCAATGCCTTGATAGAGTGTGAAGATGAGCATTTTCTGCTTATGGTAAGTAGAGATAAGCAATTTGATTGGTTGATGCTTTGGGACACGATAACTTTAGTTCCTTGGTCGATGCTTTGGGACAAGATAACTTTGATTCTATCTAATAGAGAGTGATGAAACTTAGTGTATAGTTGATAATCAGTTTGATTGCTCAATACTTTTGAAAAAAATAGATGTGCGATTAATTAATCAGTTTGATTGCTCGATACTTTTAATATGTGTCATCTATTTATTTGGGGATTTCGGCGGGGGACATCAGTCTCACTGTTGGCTTGTTCATATAACTAAAAGAATGTGCCCTTTAAAAGCGCAAAAAACTGTGAGCTCAGTTTTTTTTATACGCCCACATGGAAAGTGGTCGTATATTGCCGTCGCCCCCGTCCGTCGTCCACAATTTCTTGTGAACACTCTACAGACTACATTTATCATCTGATTGTTTTGAAATTGATATATGTTGTTTGCATTAGTGGGATGAAGAAGCCTATTTAAATTCAATAACTTCCGTTAATTTCGTCTGGAGTTATGGCCCTTGTTTCACTTTGTTGCACCTTGTGAACGCTCTAACGACAAAAGTTATCAATCGATCTGTATGAAATTTATATGCATCATTTAAATTAGTAAAACAAAGAAGCCTATTGAATTTCAGCATTTTCCGTTAATTACATCTAGAGTTATGGCCCGTGTTTCACTTTGTTGTTGAATCTTGTGAACGCTCTAATGACAACAGTTATCATCCAATCTGTTTGAAATTGATATGCATCATTTAGATTAGTGAAACGAAGAATCCTATTGAATTTCAGCAATTTCCTTTAATTACGCCGTTAGTTATGGCCCTTGTTTCACTTTGTTGTACCTTGTTTATGCTCTAACGACAAAAGTTATTATCCGATCTGTATGGAATTTATATGTATCATTTAGATTAGTAAAACAAAGAAGCTTATTGAATTTCAGCAATTTCCGTTAATTACATCTAGAGTTATGGCCCTTGTTTCACTTTGTTGCTTCTTGAACAACAAAAGTTATCAACCGATCTGTATAAAATTTATATGCATCATTTAAATTAGTAAAACAAAGAAGCCTATTAAATTTCAGCATTTTCCGTTAATTACATCTAGAGTTATGGCCCTTGTTTCACTTTGTTGAATCTTGTGAACGCTCTAATGACAACAGTTATCATCCGATCTGTTTGAAATTGATATGCATCATTTAAATTAGTGAAACGAAGAATCCTATTGAATTTCAGCAATTTCCTTTAATTACGCCGTTAGTTATGGCCCTTGTTTCACTTTGTTGTACCTTGTTTATGCTCTAACGACAAAAGTTATTATCCGATCTGTGTGGAATTTATATGTATCATTTAGATTAGTAAAACAAAGAAGCTTATTGAATTTCAGCAATTTCCGTTAATTACATCTAGAGGTATGGCCCTTGTTTCACTTTGTTGAATCTTTTAAACGCTCCAATGACAACAGTTATCATCCGATCTGTTTGAAAATTGAAATGCATCATTTAAATTAGTGCAACAAAGATGCCTATTGAATTTCAACAATTTCCGTTAATTACACCGTGAGTAATGGCCTTTTTTTCACTTTGTTGTACCTTGTGAATGCTTTAACGACAAAAGTTATTATCCAATCTGTATGAAATTTATAGGTATCGTTTAAATTAGTAAAACGAACAAGCCTATTAAGGTTCAGCAAATTTCCGTTAATTACATCTAGAGTTATGGCCCTTGTTTTACATTGTTGAATCTTGTGAACGCTTGAATGACAAAAGTTATCTGTATGAAATTCATATGCATCATTTAAATTAGTGAAATGAAAAAGCCTGTTGAATGTCAGCAATTTCTGTCAATTACTTCTAGAGTTATGGCCCTTGTTTTACTTTGTTGAAAGTTGTGAAAGTTCGAACGACAAAAGTTATCATCCGATCTGTATGAAATTGATATGTATTATTTGAATTAGTAAAACGAAAAAGTCTGTCGAATTTCAACAATTTCTGTAGATTACTTCCAGAGTTACAGCCCTTGTTTTAGTTTTTAATTACCTACAAAAGAACAAATATACGACAACTCTTGTCGACCGCTCGGACGATTTAGCTGCTGTGGGCGTATGTTTAGTTGCCTGGCAACCTATCTTTTATTTCGATTTCATTTTCTAGCAAATTCGATTAAGAGGTGAAAAAAGGTGTAAAATTGACCTATTTACAACCCATTCAGGCTTTTTAGATTTTAAAACATTTCTAAGTAACTTTTATAAACTTGTAGCTATTATGCATACAAAGAAAATGTATGTTAAAATTAGTTTGTAGTATTGAGCAGTTACCGAGAAATGGGTATTTTTGCACGAGTCCCTTTTTACGCTATTTTGCTTGTGAAAGAGTCAATTATTATTGGATTTTCAAAAAAGTGACACCATTTGATGCGTAATCTCAATTTTAACTAGGTCAAACCAATTTAACATTTTAAATGTCACCGGAAATGACGTAGTTTGGGCAAAAACTGTATATATAGCCTTCGAAACAAATAATTTATTCATATCAGTCGTATTTGTTATTTGTTTAAAATTTTGA